GGCTCGCAGAAGGCCAGAGGAGAACTCTCCACCTCGGTCAGAGTGCAGACGCAGAACAGGAAAGTCCGAGCCGAAGCTCCTCCTGAGCTGGAGACGAGCTGCGCGGATCCAGTCGATCAACACCTCAGTGACATCACCCTTGCTGCGCAAGGGGAAGACTGTGGTGTAACGCGAATAGTCGTCAACCACCAGCAGGAAGTAGCGCTCGTGACCCTGCCCACGGACGCGGGCCGGGCCCCACACGTCCATGTGAAGCGTCTGCAGAGGAGCCTCTGTCGGGGGAAACTGGGAGGAGTGAGGGGCAGCCCGGAGCCGCCCCTCGACACAGGGGACACAGGAAGGTCCGGGTCCCGAAGGAAGGGGAGGGAGAGACCGGGGAAGACCAGAGACAAGGACACGGGAAGCCATGCCCCGAAGACGAGGCAAGGAGGGGTGGCCAAGACGGTGGTGCCACAGGAGAGTCTCCTGAGACAGGCGGCGACACGAGCAGGGGGCAGACTCAGGACCAGACCTGGACGCAGCAGCAAACACCTGACCCGACGCAGCTACCTGGCCAGACGCAGGGACAGGAGGAGACTCAGTGGTCAGGGTGTAGAGACTCGACCCCGGCCGACGCGAAAACGTGGCCAGGTGTTGGCCTGTGCGGGCGTCCGAGCAGTGGGTCACCCGCTGACTCGCAGGAGTAAACTGGTGAACCCCCGCATCCTGCAGGTCAGCACCACTCACCAAGTTCGTCGAGAACGAGGGGAGGTACAGACCAGACAAGGTGCCCGAGGGGGCAGCCGGACACGGGAGGACAGTGGAGAAGTGAGAGAGGACAGGACCCCCAGAGGGGTCAGCCAGGGAGACTGCAACCGGCCGGCCAAGCGGCGTGAGTGTGGTGCGGTCTCGAAAGAAGGAGCGAGAAGCCCCTGAGTCAAGCGTGAAGGTGAGGGAGGCCGAAGCCGACGCAGTACCTGAGAGCGCAGCCTCACCAGTACCTGAGAGTGCAGACGCACTGGCACCTAGAGCAGCAGCCGCAGAAGTACCTAGCGCAGCAGTACCAATGCCCGGGTCGGGCGGGAAACACCGGTAACAGTCACCCTCCTCACTAATAGTCACAGCATACATGGCAGCAAGGATAGCATCAAAGTCAAAATCAAAGATAGCTACGCCAGCCCTAGACAGCTCTCTCCAACGGGGAATCTCACTAGCCTCGGGGAACTGTTGACGCCAAGCGTCCGTCAGGCGGCCAAAGCAGCGCTGGGTGGGGTGGGCACCCCCACACTGCTCACCCGCGCGGTCGCCGGAACGAAGGACGTAGGTGCACGGACCAAAAACCCCACCCCGCTGACGCTGCGTGTACCACTCACGGAGCTGCTGGGGCGGGGGGATGTCCCGCGAACGCTGCTGCTGCTGCTGCTGCTGCTGACGCTGGCCACCACCAGAGCCGCTACGCTGCGGGGCACCACCCCGACCAGCTCCACCCCCTCCGCCACCGCCGCCTCCACCTCCACCACCACCGCTGCCTCCGCTCCCACCGCTGCCGCCACCACCGCCTCCTCCTCCGCTGCTGCCACCGCCACCACCGCCCCCGCCACCACTCCCACCGCCACTCCCACTCCCTCCGCCGCCTCCACCGCCACCTCCACCGCCCCCTCCAGTTCCACCCGCGCCCTTGCCCCCCTTGCCCCTGCCAGGGCGGCGTCTCCCGCTAGGGGCAGACGCCGCGCAGACCGACTCAAGACCAAGCAGGTCGGCAGCAGCAGCAGAGGCAACAGAGGGCAGCAGGGGGGAAGGAGAACACCCCTCAAAGATGGGGGTGCGAGGGTCACCACGAGAGGCTCCTACAGCGACGATGCTCTTCTCCGCCGCCAGGAGGGACTTCTCGAGGAGATCGACAGTGAGAGTGGTGGGACAGACTGAGAGGAAGTGGTCCCTGACTACGTGAAGGGAGTCAGGGAGGCGTGTGACTATGTAATAGAGAGTGATGTACATGGGGGGGGGGTTCTTGGCGCAGAACTCAGCAGGAAGGGCGGCGCGGTAGCGAGTGTCACTAATGCGGAGGTGCGTAATGAGGTCAGCGACAGTGGGAAAGACAGCAAGGTCAGGAAAGAGGTACGGTAGCATGAGGCGGCTCAGGGCAGCAGTGGCAGGGGAAGAGTAGCGCGCAACTACAGCGTCGTACAAGGTCTGAGCACTCTTGTACTGACTAAAGTGCGCGCGCTCAGTGGTAGGCAGGTGGCGACGCACAGCAAGACGTGCAGCAGCATCGCGGGTGGCCCACTGAGAGCGAACAGTGGGGTCAGCATCAGCAGCAGGGGCAGGAGAGGCGCCAGAGGTGAGGTCAAAGAGGGAAAGACCGTCCGTCCTATCGCACTGTAAGAACAGCTGCAGGTCGTCGACCCAGACCTCAAAGTCAATGGCTCGACCCTCAGCGTCAAAAGCAAGGACACTAGGGGTAGCCATGACGACGACAGTGTAGCAGTGCAAGCAGTAGGGGAGGGGCACGCAGTAACAGTGGTGCTGTGCTCACCAGGCAGGGCAGGTCGGGCGGCTCGGCAATAGGGCGGCCCGGCGGCTGGGCGGCTCGGCGGCTCGGCTGCTGGGCGGCTCGGCTCCCGGGCGGCTCGGCGGCAGGGCGGCTCGGCGGCAGGGCGGCTCGGCGGCTCGGCTCCCGGGCGACTCGGCGGCAGGGCGGCTCGGCAACAGGGCGGCTCGGCTCCCGGGCGGCTCGGCTGCTGGGCGGCTCGGCGGCAGGGCGGCTCGGCGGTCGTAGGCGGCGGGGCCGGTGAGGATAGGCGGCGGGGCCGGTGAGGATAGGCGGCTGGGCCGCGAAGTGGGGCGGCGGGGCCGCGTAGGTGAGGGCGGCGAGGCCGCGAAGGCAAGGGCGGCGAGGCCGCGTAGGTGAGGGCGGCGGGGCCGCGAAGTGAGGCGGCGGGGCCGCGTAGGCAAGGGCGGCGAGGCCGCGACGTGAAGGCGGCGAGGCCGCGAAGGCAAGGGCGGCGAGGCCGCGTAGGTGAGGGCGGCTGGGCCGCGAAGTGAGGGCGGCGGGGCCGCGAAGGTGAGGGCGGCGGGGCCGCGTAGGCAAGGGCGGCGAGGCCGCGTAGGTGAGGGCGGCGGGGCCGCGAAGTGAGGGCGGCGGGGCCGCAACGTGAGGGCGGCGGGGCCGCGCAGGTGAGGGCGGCGGGGCCGCGTAGGCAAGGGCGGCGAGGCCGCGACGTGAGGGCGGCGGGGCCGCGACGTGAGGGCGGTGGGGCCGCGTAGGTGAGGGCGGCGCAACGGGCCGCTAGGGGCGACACGGAGGGTCGCTAAAAAAAAAAAGAAAGCGCGCCTCGGGGCGCGCTTCGGTGGGCCCTAGAAACAGTCCCTAGGAGGGGACCTGCTCTGATTCCATGAGAAAAGGAGAAAGCGAATGAATGAACTATGAATGAAGTGAGTACATATAGGAAACCCTAATTGGGTTGTACCCCCTATGGGATACCCCACTATAGCCTACACAACAGCATAAGCTATATATATGTTCTGACACGGCGGGCTCTGCTTAGGCTGCGCGCGGGCGGCTTAAGGGGGCGCGCGGGCTCTACGTGGGCTACGCGGGCGACGCGGACCGGCGCGCGGCTCTGCAGCAGTGGCGCGCGCTAAAAATCAGAGACGCGCGCGCTAGAAACCGAGGCGCGCGCGAGAAAAAATAAGTGACGCGCGCTGCCGCCGAGGCGCGCGCGAGCAGTAGGCAAGGCAGGCAGTTTGGTGGGCCCGATTCGTAGGTCGTAGAGATCTCCTGCTCTAGTTACCATGTTAAGAACCTAAGGCAAGAATGAGTGAATTAGGTGAAGGCTAGGGTACAAGACTAGGGTATCGAGAAAGTTTGTGTACCCCCTAGTGCTAACCCCCATACAGCCTAGATAACCTAAACAAGCATATATATATAATTTGACATCGAGTGGATTTACTGCAGTGACGTGGCCCGTGGGGAGAAAACGTGGGCGCAGTTTCGGACAGATCTCATCAAAATATTCAAGCCAATAAATTCGACGTACATGGCGCGGCAACAGATTCATTGACACAAGCAACTCGCGAATGTAGCACTGTACACGCAGTAGATGGAGCAACTTTTCAATCGCATCACCGACCTGATTGAAGGCGAGAAAATCCGAGCGTACTCCGAAGGGTTGAAAGAGATTCGCCGGCAGGTCATCGCCGCAAACTACAGTAGCTACCGCGACATCGTACGTGCAGCCAAACGATACGACGCGTTGACGCGTGGTCAACCCGAAACACGATGCTACGGGCCGAACCATACATTTGGCACGGAGCGATCGGCACCCCCCACGTTCGCCAGCGAGGATGTCTGAATCCCAGCCACTAACCATTGGGATAAAAGGGCTTGGTTATATAGCGGGTGAATGCGCCCATAACCCCCAGGCCAACATGCCTGTAACCTTTCCCTATGATTAATCGGGGATCATCAGGGGAGGCGTGCTGCTGCTGGTTGGGTGCGAGTTGCTGGTAAGGGGCGTGTGCGTGCCGCTGAAGGTGAAAGGACTCTGGTATGTACTAGGGTTTCGATTCGGGTCTTACACTAAACATCGGTACACCATTTTTAAAGCCTGGGTCAGCATGGTAATTTTCAAGTTATGTGGTTTTGAAATAGTGTTTGCGAAACTTTGAAAACAAAAATTTCGGCAAAGTCAGTGTAGCGAAAAAGGGATTGACTGGGGGAAAAGGGGTCTCACCAACCATTGTCGCATGACGATTGCCTGACATCGCAAGAGTTTTTTCAAAACAAGTAGGGTAACCCTATTTTTGGCGACTTCAAGTTCAAGAATCTTGAATTCGAAAATTGCCATGCTGTACTCGGGCTATAATTGTTCAGGCCATACTTGGCATTTGGAATGTCACATGTTCAACGCCTTTGACATTTTGTTGTACACTCAATGCATTGTAAAGGTACAAAATTCTACAGGTCTAGTAGATACTACCGTTATCAATTATCAAAATTTGGATCAGTTTTGTGTCCATCAAGCAGCATAACGAAGCAACACGCCATCATTCCCAAGAATAAAGCCCTTTCCATAAATGAACCTGCCCACATAAGTACATGACAGGCACAGTAATTAATAATTATTTCTCCGCCGAGTAGGGCTGATTTTATCAGACTATTTTAGTCTGATTGTCTGAAATCTCAGACTCTTTTTTTCTCCATTCCTGAAATTTCAGTATTCCTGTATTCTGAACTCTGAAGGCCTCAGACCTGTTAGTTTTTCAACTCTGAAAATTTCAGAGTACTTCATTGTGCGATACTGAGACTCGAGACTACAGGGAGTATGGCCCCTGAATTTGCCGAATTTCAGTCCTCCCCCCTCCCCCTCTCTCGAATTACATTCAATTCCCCCCCTGCCCCCCTCCCCCCTCCCCCTTCCCCCGCCCCCTCTTACTCCTGCTTCTCGCCGACTTCGCAACGTTTTCCCTAGGCCAAACTCGCTTGACAGATATTCGCTATTCACCAACTCGGATGCGGTTTTACAAACTTAAAACTTTTCAGACTAATGATTTTTTCAAACCTGACATTTCAGAGTACTCAGAACTTGGGAAATGACCCTCAGACTAAACGAAATCTTTTTCTCCCCTGCCTCAGAGTGGGTTTTTTTGAAACGTCAGCCCTGCCGCCGAGGGAAAAAGGTGAAGAAGCAGCAGCAGCAACAACAGGAGGGAAAGTGGCATGAACTCACTTGACATTGTACAGGTTGGCTGCCAGGTTGTCCGCCACTCGGTCCCGCACCCATGTCTTGCCCCCGTCCACTGTCTTCAGCAGCACCCCACTGCCGCCCGCTGCCCACGCTTCGTCCTGAACCAATTAGGAAGACAAAAGGGCGGGAAAATTGGAGGTGGAGACAGAGATACCGGTAAGGGGGGCAGGGAAGCGGAATGTGAGTGAGGGAAGGAAGGCGGATTTGAGAGACAGAAGGGCACAGGAAGAGATGAGAGTGGAGGAGGCGAGAACAATGGCTGCAACTAAACTGCAAGCACATAGTTTCAGTGATCACCCTCACACACACACACACATTGATTCCTAACCAACAGTCTCTTATGATGCGTGTAACACACAGCAATCTTTGTACCCATCATTGTCCCATCGCTGATGTATTCCATGACTCACATTGCTCTTGTATCCGAGATCGAGCAGTCCAAAGCCACGGCTGGCGATGCGCACCTCCTCAAACGACTCGGAGACCTGCCCAGGGATAGGGGGCGGGCGCACAGGAATGAGGGAGAGCAGAAGACAGCACAGGGATAAGGGGAGGCAGCACAGGAGTGAGAGCCGACAGCACAGGGGTAAGAGGCGGCAGCACAGGGGTAAGAGGCAGCGGCACAGGGGTAAGAGGGAGCGGCACAGGGGTAAGAGGCAGCGGCACAGGGGTGAGGGGCGGCAATACAGGAGTGCGGGGCGGCAGAACAGGAATGAGGGGAGGCGCCAGGAGTGAGGAGCGGCAGCACAGGAGTGAGGGGCAGCAGAAGCGCATGAGCACACAAGGACATGAGAGCGTGTAAGCACGTACAGAAAGAAACGCACACACAGCAAGGCTTCACCTTAGGCTATTAACTTTCCATTAACACATTTGCTGCATCAACCATTTCTTCCACCTTGATTTCAAGCCCTCTCAGAGCAATGATTTCAACCTCCCACACACCCCCTGCTTCATCCGCACTGATGTCTCACACCGCCTCTGTCTCCCCTCCACCACTCTGCTCACCCCTCTCCTCTCTCCCGTCCACCCGTCCACCCGTCCACCCGTCCACCTGTCCACCCGTCCACCCTTCCACCTGTCCACCCGTCCACCCGTCCACCCGTCCACCCGTCTACCCGTCCACCCGTCCACCCGTCCACCCGTCCACCCGTCCACCTGTCCACCTGTCCACCCGTCCACCCTTCCACCTGTCCATCCGTCCACCTGTCCACCCGTGCACCCGCCCACTCACCCCCTCCCCTTGGCCGAGGAAGAGACCTCCGCCGCGCACGAGCAGCCAGAGCCCGCCGTCAGCGCGCCACCCCATGTTCTGGATGCGCCGCGCGCTGCTGCGGTTGTGCGGCTGCCAGAAGGTCTGCACGCAGGCGAAGCGCGGGAGCAAGGCGAGTGCAAGAGAGGGGGCGGCAGTGAGCGAGAGAACATGTTGGGAGTGGGAGAGGAGAGACGTTTGTGGGGGGAAAGGTATAGGTCATGGGAGAAGGGCGGATAGGTAGGTGGGGGCAGAAGTGTGGGGATGACAAGATAGCAATGGTAATGACAGTGTGTGTGACCAGGCCGCTTGTCTCTTGTCTGTACTCCAAAGTTCTATATTAATGAAAGGACTATTCGAGGGGGGGGTGGGGGGGGGAAAATGAGGGGGGAAGGGGTGGGGAAGGAGAAGAAGGGAAGGGTGGGGGGGGGGGGGGGGGGGGGGTTGGGGGAAGGTAGGGCTTGAGCGCACCTGCCCGGGTTCCCAGGTTAGGAAGAAGTTGCCGCGGCTGGACACGGCCACGTAGCTGCCGTCGGGCGAGCGATTGATGGTGCTCACGCTGCCCGTGTAGTAGCTCGCGCCCGTGATGCCGCTCGATACAGTGCGGTTGAGCGTGGCGGAGATGGTTTCCTCGACGGCGGCGCGCCAGTTGTAGCCGCCGTTGGCCGTCACGTAGATGGCGCCCTCATCCGTCACCATCTCCGCCGCGCGCTCGCCCGTCGCGAAGATCGACACCTGTGGCACGCGCAGGCGGGCAGGAGAACAGGCGGACAGGCGGACAGACGGGCAGGCGTAGGGGCAGCGATAGGGAGAAGGGGGTTAAGAGGGGCAGAGAGAACCGGAGGGAGGATGGAGAAAGAACGTGAGGGGGTGGATGAGAAGGTAAAGACACCGAGGCGGAACGCCATGATTGACAATGGAAGCACGAACGATTGGTGCAGGATGCAGTGGTGCGGTGGTGCGGGGGTGCGGTGGTGTCACCGCCTTCCCAACGAATTGACAATGCACCAAGCAGCGCGACTCACAGGGGTGCCGGGCAAGCGCGCGGAGAGCGGGACACGCGACCACGTGGCGCCGGCGTCGTTGGTGTAGAGCAGGATGGCGGGCTTGCCGACGATCCACCCCTCCTTGCCCTGGAAGCTGATGGCGTTGAACCGGTAGTTGAAGTCCTCCTCCTCCGCCGACGGGATCTCCTTCGCCGCCCACGTGCGCCCGCCGTCGCGCGTCTCCAGCAGCGTCTGCCGCGTGCCCAGCAGGAACCCTGCGTCGCGCACAAGGGGGAATGCAGGGCGGAGATACAGAGATGGGCGAGGTCACGAGGGCGTGTGGGTGGCAGGCATGCGCGCGCCATGAGCCAAACGGAGAACCCTAGTTTCACGCACATGCATGGCGGCCGCGGAGCCGGGATAATACGTTGTAGTCGCTTACGACAATTCTCAAAAGTGATTTCAACATAAGCGGCGGAGCAGATACAATGCATAGACGCGGCAAATCTGACAGAATGCCTATAAAGGCCACGGCATGACACACCATAATGACAATCGTTCAACATCCTCTGAACCTTTGCTTGTTCGACAATCAAAGCATTTTGCTGCCAAGGATGCGAAAGGATAACCTTTGCGCTGCATAGGTTCTTGTTACGGCACCCCTCTGAAACGCGCCTTCTTGTTGTGCTATGGCGGCGGGATGGGGTCTAGCGAACATGGAAGGGGACGCTTTCTATGTGCGCAAGGATGGGAATGCAAGCCAGGCGGTGCGTACCGTGGTCGGGCTCGTCGGGAACGAAGGCGATGTCGAGCAGCACGACGCCAGGCGCGACGGGCAGCGGCACCTGCTCCCACTCCGACAGGTCCTCAGCCGCCACTGCCCGCCCCACCACCGGCGGCACCACGCTCAGCGCACCGGCCAACCCGCCGGCGAGCATCACGCCGCGACGGCTAATTGCAGCGTCGCCGGCATTCTCGCCGGACGCGCGGCATAGCAGTGTCGACGCTGGGGTGGATGTGTGCGAAACGCTGCGCTTGCTCTCCGGCTGACGCGCTCCCACCCTCAGGCCAGAAACGGCTGGAATGGAAATCTGCTGAACTGCTGCAGTGTGAGGAGCCGGGGACAGAATGGAGTTGGGCAGGACAGGCGACGAGAGGGTGAACGACGCCATGGCGTTCAGATTGTAGGAGGAAGAGAGCAAAATTCGTGTTACTTTGAAAATGTCTCTTGGAAGACTAGAGTTGAGACTTCAATGGAATTTGGGTTGGATATGCTCGGGGTGGAGGAATCAGGGGCCTGCCAGCCACACTAGGCGGACCTCGGGTTCGCTAGACAAGACGCCATTTGGCGACTGTAGAGGTGACGTGCTCGCGACCCAATTTCGGTAGCGACGTGGATGCATTCGAATGGACATACGTGTCACCACCAGAACAGCCGAGTAGTCGAGAACCCAGATTTGAGAAGCATACCTGAAAACATGTAACGAGCTCTTACGAGTGTAGTTGACGAATCAAGGAAGGATTGGACTAATGAGAAAAAATGAGTACAGATAAAAGTAAACATTTATGGTACATGCGGAAATTGCAAAAAAATCACGCTCCAAGAAGTTTGGCTGGGAGGGAGGAGAGGAGGGAACTAAATATATATGATTGCTAGGCTGTAGCGAGGTACAACTTAGGGGGTACGCAAGTTCTTTCGAGTCTTATACTTGTATCGCACATCGCCTTTCTTGGAAGTTTGGACACGACAGCCCCGAAAGTGCATCGATTGAGAAAGCTTGCTTTCTTATTTTTATCAATTGGCATCGTTCTCATTACAACTGGCTTATTACAACATTTGCATTGAGATTAAACACAAGCTAGTGCATGCTAATATTACTAGCTAAGATGTACCCTATCCAAGTGGCATTAGCAAGGCGTTCTACGCTGGGGTGGGTGGTGGGCAGGCCTCTGGATAGGTTTGGAAGCACTCTTAGTCGAAAGGTCAGGCTGCCAAAGCTGGTCTTTCAGTAAGGGTGGGGCAGCCATATCAGTCTTGTGTATCAGTGTTGGCTGCATTGTTACTCGTGCTCATCAGTGTACTGTGGACCTCGGTTAGTTGTACCATTTTTTTTTAACCAACGCTTAATGTTTAGGTTGACATGACGTGCAAAGAACAATAAAATATATGACTAGAACTAGAACAACAACAGGACCTACATATGGGATGGTCTGGCCTGGTCCGGTTCCAGCAGAATACTCCTAGCAGGGAGCAGAGCAGCAAAATCAATACAAAAACTCCTGGGTAGGACGGCGCTTCTTGCTAGCATTGAACACGGCTACCACATTCACCCAGTTCAGACCATCACTGGGCAGGAGCGCTGCAGTCATCAGATCGCCCAGTTTGGCGTCGCCCGGGCAGGTCCGCTTCCACGTCTTGATACGGTTCTGGCGACTGAAGCCCCGCTCGCACTCCACCGTGCTGAGGGGGAGCACAGCTACGGCCTGCCACAGCTGCACAAGGTTCGGGTACGCTCCCACGTAGTCAGTTGACTGGAGCATGAGCGAGAGCGACTTGTGGAAGCTCATGTTCCCGTGATTGGTATCAATGGTGTGGAGAAACAACGGTAGCTCCCTCTCGCACGCCTTGAAGCACACACCTGCCAGGATGGGAGAGCAGAGCAGTGAGAGGGGCGATCGCATATAGGAGGTGTTTAACAGCACACCAAGGTACACACACACACACAGCAGACAACACATTGCAGGCACAACCAGGTGGCGTACCAAAGAGGCGGTGGTGAAACATGTGGTCTAGCATGCCCAACCACTCGCGGCACTTCTTCATCCGCTGCGCGTTGTCGTCGGGATAGCACGATGGCCGGAAAAGCTTGGAGCCGGCCAGGTTCTTGAGGTCTTCCAGGCGGAACTCCAGTCGCGCAACGCAGACCCTCGCAAACTCCTGGCACACCGCCTTGCAGGAGTAGTAGTCCCTGCCAGTCTTATGGCCTGGGATCTTGCGCTCGTGAAGCACGAACTCGTGCTCTGCAGCTTTGCCGTTCTGGTCCACGCCTTGGACGGTGACTTCGCGGTGCTGGGGGTTGCCGTGTTTCTTCAGGAACGCGCAGAGCAGGGGCGACTGATCGTTGCCGAAACGATCCTCGCAGTCCACGTAACGCACCTCGATCGTCCGGCAAGCGAGTGACACCTCCCCCGCGACCACAGTAATGTCAACCTTTGAGTGGGCGTGGGATGAATAGTTGCTGCCAGAGGTTGATGTACAATGGGTCAGAACGGCGCACAACAACCGGGAACATGGCAGTGACACAAACGCCTATATGTACAACCAAAACACTCCACATGTCACCTGCTGCTTCTGGAACTTGGCGTTGAGCTCGTTGAGCACGGCAAGAATGTCTGCAAGGAAGAAAAGCATGAAGTGGAATTTGAAAGAGGTGACCGTTTCGTATAGCGCGTGCTTGAAATCGTGCAGCAGGACGATTGTCGCCGGCAGAACCTTGGCAAACCGCTTGACTGCCTCTCCTCTAGAGAGCCATCGCACGTCGTGGATCCCCTGCAGCTCCAGGTTGGTTTCGCAGATGTACTCCTGAAGGTGCTCGAATCGCCGGTGCCAGTTGCTCGACCTAGAAAGCTGCTCCGCCACGTTGCACACCGCCTGGTCTATAATGTTGAACTCCGTCACCTTCAGCGGCATCCTTCACGGCCAACGCCTCCCTGCTCAAGGTAGAACGGAGGAAACCAGCGATTGAAGTGAGTGGGAAGTACATGATCAACACACACCTGCCATAAAGCCAGTAACAATGACGGACTTACCGATGTGCGAAGCAGTGGCACGACACGAGATAGGGATTCCGCTGCCGGAGTCGTGCCACAACACCATTACTGGTGCCCGTCATTACTCTGGCGCCGTCGATGCTGATTCCAACAATCTTGGACAAGTCAATGCCCACGGCGTCAAGGTGGGTCAGTAGCACGTCGACTAGACTTGCCGCGTCACACTTGTCAACTGTCAGCAGCGTGAGGAACTCGCAGACGCTCGCTCCCTCCTTCATGAAGTGGAAGTACACGATCATGTGCTTGCCGCGCGCCTTGTCAGTACTCTCATCGAGCTGAATGGAGATGTACGGGCTCGCCTCGATCTGCTTCAGTTGCTCTTGCCGCATGTACTTCGCTGCAGCTTCTAGCAGCTCCCCGAAACCGTACCTGTATGATACAAGCACAGAGCTTAGCACGTGATCAATCAAGACAGTTGTAACGGAACCAGTACAACGACACCAAGTACCCCGAAACTTACTCCGAAAAGTAGTTTCCCTTGGAATCCAAGGGAAGGTTCGGGACTCCGAGCTCGGCCATGAACTTGATGGTGCCCACGTAGGAGGTGATTGGCGCCTCCGACTTGCAGATGTACACGGTAGCCTTGAGAGCGGTGATGATGTGAAGAGTGCTGCGATCCAACCCCTCGAACTCGCTCAGCAGCGTCTGACGAAGCTTCCGGCTCTCCTTCGACTTCATCTCGGCGTGTGCGTCCTGGTGTGCGGTGGAGCGCTGGTGCGTCCGGATGCTCCCCTTCTGCATGTCACGCCCTCCACTGCCTCCCTTGCCATAAGCCGTTTTCGCGCCTTCAGCTCCATGTTCCAAGTGTGAGAATGATAGACGAAAGAATGAATGAACTAGGAAAGAGGTGGGTACAAGTAGGAAACCTAGAAATGTTGTACCCCATATAGTCTACCCCACTACAGCCTACACAGACTATAGCATATAAGTTTGACACACCCCCATAGGCAAAGTGGGGGAGAACAAGAGGTCACAAGACCAGTCAAGCAAAGCAAAGCAAGCTCAGGGTGGATCACAACGTCACCACACAATCCGAGCACAAGAGCAAGGCCAAAAGGCCAGTTCACATGCAAGATCATATATAAAGGTAAACAGGCAAGTGCAGGTATAGAAAGATCACAGTACAAGCAAGGTCAAGAAGTGAGCAAGTGAGGCCAAGTAGGCACAAGACCTAGCATCGTACAGAAGCGCTGATGATCACCAGGCGGAAGTGCCTTGGTAAAGATATCAGCAGTGTTGGCCTGAGAGGCCACGTAAGCAAGGCGCAGCTGTCCACGCTGCTGCAGCTCACGAGCAAGGAAGTAGCGAAGAGCAATGTGCTTCGTTCTGTGCTCCAGTCTGTGCTCCCGACACAAGGCCAGCATGGCCTTGTTGTCTACGTACAGAACTGGAGGAGAACGAGGCGGCTCTCCTAGGTCAGTCAGCAGGTAGGTGAGCCAGCGTAGCTCCTGTGCAGCCATGGCCCCCGCGTAGATCTCAGCCTCACAGCTGGAGCCGAGAACAGAAGACGAGCGGGTAGACCGCCACGAAACAGAGCCGGAGCCAAGGCTGAAGGTGTAACCCTGTGACGACCGCTGCGTAGCCTGGTCGTCAGCACAAGAAGCGTCTGCGTGACCTGTGAGGACCACTGGACGTCGCCCCCCAAGCACTAGCCCCATGCCCGACGTACTGCACAAGTAGCGCAACACCCTCTTCGCTGCAGCCATGTGCTCTGGTCGGTGTCTCCCAGGAGCAACATAGCGTGCCAAGATGCTAAGAGGGTATGCTAGGTCAGGTCGTGTGCAGGTCATCAGGTACATGAGGCAGCCAACAAGCTCTGGGTACGGGCCACTCGGCTCTACGGACTCATCCGAAGGCAGAGCTGAGAGCGAGTGGCGAGTAGACAGAGGAGTGGCCTGAGGCGAGGAGTACGTGAAGTCGAAGCGCTGAAGGACCTGCTGCACCATGTGTGACTGAGTCAGGGTAATGGTGCGTTGTGCTTCTTCCCGGGTGATCTGCAAGCCAAGGTAGCTGCGCAGTTCACCCAGGTCTGTGCACGTGTGTCTCTTCTGCAGCTCGGACTTCACGTGGGCGAGTCCAGCAGTGTCAGCAGTGGCAAAGACCAAGTCGTCGACGTACACGAGGATGTAGAACGGCGGCAGGGAGGTGTCAGTGCGCAGAAACAGCGACGGGTCGGCAGTAGACGGAGCAAACCCAAGAGCCGCAAGTGTAGTCCTCAGTGTGTCGCGCCACTCACGGGGCGCCTGGCGGAGACCGTAGACTGGCCGCCGGAGGCTCCACTGGGTACCAGGAGGAAACGACCCAGTGAAGCCAGGTGGGCGGCGCAGCCAGATCTCCTCGTGCAGGCTGCCCTGCAGGAAAGCTGTGCTGAAGTCAAGAGAGTGAAGCTCGTAGTCGCGCTGAGCGGCTATGTGCAGCAGCACCCGAAGAGTGGTCATCTTCGGGGTGGGAGAGAAGGTCTGAAAGTAGTCAACTCCCTGCCGCTGACTGAAGCCTCGAGCCACGTAACGCGCCTTGAAGACAGGCGGAGAACCCGGCGGCCGCTTCACCCTGAAAATCCACATGCCACTGACGATGTTCGCCCCAGGTGGGGGAACCTCGTCGACGTAGGTGCCTGTGGACTTCCAGGAAGCCATCTCTGCGTCCATGGCTGACTGCCACTGTGAGGAGTAGGGACCCTCGATCGCCTCAGCGTACGATCGAGGAGTCGGGATGTCTGGTGCATCCGGGTCTCCCTCAGGGGCAATCAGCGTGGACACGAGATGAGGCAAAGCAGCAGCAAAACACTGGAACTCCTCCTGCCTGTCCTCAAGGACGTCCGTGCTAAGAGCACACTCACCCCCGACGGACGGAGGACAGACAGACTCAGACTCAGCAACGAGACTAGCGGCGTAGTCTAGACGACAGCGAGCAGCAAAGTCGACAAGCTCAGCAACTAAGGCAGACGCAGCAGTGGACTCAAAGGAAGGGTCAGTGACAACAGTGGCCAGGAGACGCGTGACAGTAGGACTGGCAGCACGAAGAGAGTCAGACTCCGGGTCAGCAAGAACAGGAAGAGAGGACTCTGGAGGAGACGGCAACGGGACACGCAGAGGAGCAGTGGAAGGACGCAGTGCCATCTGGTGTGTGCCTGGGACCGCAGGAGGACGCGGAGCACGACGACTAGTGCGAGCAGCACGAACAGGCGACGCGGGACGAGACGCAGGCTCACGACGCTCAGCAAGACCTCCAGTAGGACTAGTGTAGGGAGAAGGAGCAGGTAGGGGGGAGGCGGGCTGTAACTGTGACCGCGACTGGACAGGCTGTGGACACTCTAAGGGAGGAGCAGGACCAGTAGAGGGCGGGAGACCAAGAACCTGCTGAAGGAGCGGAACGTAGTACGGCCTCGGCCGCGCAGCTCCTCCAGAACCAGCAGGGACAGCACCAGTACCCCCAGCGGCAGCACCAGCGCCAGCAGCACCTCCAGCTCCAACAGCGCCAACTCCAGCACCCACAGAAGCACCAGCGCCAGCAGAACCACCAGCGCCAACACCCCAAGCAGCTCCAGCTCCAGCAGCTCCAGCAGAACCAACTCCAGCAGCAGCCCCAGCAGCACCCCCAGTCCCAGCAGCTACAGTACCGCCAGTACGAGCACCTCCAGGACCAGTAGCAACAGTAGTACCTCCAGCTCCAGCAGCACGGCTCCAGCGCCGGGCAAACCACTCGCGCAGCTCCTGCGGAGAGAGTAGCTCCCGCCTCGACGAAGCACCGCGAGAGGCCACACGAGCAGACCCAGCACCCCCAGGCTCTGCACCCCCAGGCTCAGCACCCCCAGACTCAGCACCCCCAGGCTCAGCACCCCCAGATTCAGCACCCCAAGGCTCAGCACCCCCAGACCCCGCACCCCTGGACTCAGCACCCCCAGGCTCCACACCCCCAGGCTCAGCACCTCCAGACCCGGTACCCGCAGTCTCAGCACCTCTAGCAGCACCAGAGTCACCAGCTACCTCGACAGGCTCGACTGCGTCAACCTGGGACACACCTGACGGGGCAAGACCCTGAAGGGGGAGGGGGTCTACCGGGGGAGGACCTGGCGCAAGGAAGAGCGGCGGCGGGGGGAGGGGCGCAGTGCGGTAGGGGAAGAGACGGTAGTAAGGTACCGACTCGTCAAACGTGACATCCTGGGAGGACAGAACACGGCGCGAGGTGGGGTGGTAAAACTGCCACCCAGGTGCGTCAGGGGGGAAGCCAAGGAAGAAGGGGACAGCACGGCGGGACAGCTTGTCCGTAGACAAGTCGCGGACAAACGCCCGAGATCCCCAGACCCGAAACGCAGACGCATCGCCAACCTTCCCGGTCCACCGCAAGGTGGGGGAGGTCTCTGGCAAGGAGACCCGGGGCTGAAGGTTGAGCTGATGCGCCGCGTACTGAACCGCAAACGGCCACAGAAAATGGGGAGCAGCCGCATGGATCATGGACGTACGAGCGACGTCCATGACCATGCCAATGCGGCGCTCAGCAATCCCATTTTGCTGTGGAGAGGCCGGAAGCGTGAAGGTCTGGCGGATGCCCTGTGCACGACAGAAGGCTCCCAGACGGGTAGAGGAAAACTCCCCGCCTCTGTCAGAGTGCAGACGTAGAACAGGAAAGTCCGAGCCGAAACTCTCTCTGAGCTGGAGACGAGCTGCGCGGATCCAGGCGATCAACACCTCAGCGACGTCACCCTTGCTGCGCAAGGGGAACACTGTGGTGTAACGTGAGTAGTCGTCAACCACCAACAGGAAGTAACGCTCGTGACCCTGGCCACGGACGCGGGCGGGGCCCCACACGTCCATGTGAAGAGTCTGCAGCGGAGCCTCTGTCGGAGGAAACTCGGAGGAG